TCTCGGTGATGAGGGCTCATGGTCTTAGAACCATGTTACTGCAGAAATAATTTAACAGATGATACCAAAGTCCATCCAGCAGTGCTGTCTACATAACACCAAGCTTGTGGACATCACTTCGCGCACTTCGTCGACATTCACTGTTATATAGCGCTGCTGGACGGATTGTAGTACTGTATACCTAGAATTTGAGCTGCACTGGCATCCGCTTATCGTATAGAGTTCATGTGAACTTCATTTCATCCAAGCTGCTTTTGTTCTGACCGATAGCTCATCTTGTCTTCTTTCTCCGGAGATGCGGCTTCCTAGTTACTTTAAGTACTCGTCTTCTTGATAGCTCGCCAAGGATGTTATGGGTTCTGACGTTGGCCTTTCAACTTCATATATTTCATCTTCTCTGGGTTGAGCTTCAAATCGTACAATCCTAATTGCTTCTTTGCACCTCATCTTTATGTTCTTCTTTGCTTTTTGCCATCAACACCACATCATTTGCAAACAGGAGAGCCCTCGGAGGCTGCCTTTAAGACTCTCCGTAATTTTGTCAAAAAACTGTCCCTTTTTGAAATAAAATAGGTAAATTTGGATAAATTGAAAAAAGCACACGCTGCACAGAATTTTCTAAATACTAATGCTGACGTTATTCAGCGAGTTTGTTTATAAATGCTTCATGTGGCTTATGTTTGTCAACAAGATGGACCAATGATGCAGCGTATTGTGTGGATCAAGGCAAGTGCATATCTCACTCAAAAAGAAAGTATATCAATCCTTTAGATTCATATTATCATTCGGAAATACTAGAATAAATATCAGTCTGACATTTGCACCTCTCCACTTAGATTCTCTAGAGTAAACGTAGGGCATTCAGCATGCTGGGGCGGATAGACACCATCTTCGCTTAGTTCACAATTTCCTAAAGTTATGGTATGCCAAGTGTGACATCCTGGAGAGAGGGAGAGAGTGGGATAACGAAAAAAGAGGGAAAAAAAGAAAAGAAGGATGAGAGAAAAAAAGACAAAGGAAGCAGACATGCGGCTTACAAGCGCAAGCTTCCAATGAACCGCGTAACCCGAAGAGTTGGAGGTTTGGCACAACAGCATAATTGCCCTTTGAAAGTGAGTGCTTCCATTGAGAGTTTATTATGTGAATGCGACTGTATCATTGTGATAAAAGGAAAAGTTCAAACTACCAAGGACTACTGCGTACCTGGTGCAATCTTCAAAACGAATTGTATATCCGACTTCTTGACCTAACTTGGCCCCGAATTCTTCAGCAACTCTTTTCGCTACGGACATTGCAGCCACGCGTCTAAAATTGAATTTGTGAGGCCATATGCATTGATAAGATGTTGTGAAAGAACGTTTAACTGACTACCACTATAGAAGTGAACTCCCTCGAACTTTATCATAGAAACGCTGTTATGAGGAAGCTAAAAGCTAACCTGGGTTGCGTACAACCGATTTTTCCTTTTCGAGCAAATCCCGCTTCCACGGCGTACTGTGTTATCTGCGTTGTTTTCCCTGAACCTGTTTCTCCGATTACTACGAGTATCTGGTTATCAGCCATAGCCTAAAAGGCAATGCTATTATCACCAAAATACCCCCAAATAGGTAATCATATGTTACAAAACCTGCAGCAATGCTTTCTTCAGACTAAATATTGGCAGAGTTTCGCGTTGCTCTTTCATGCTTAAATTAGTGCGTTTGCCATAGGTTGCCTTTCCTCCTGCAGTAACGTGTTTCATCCACTCTGGCATGTCCTATAAATTGCCTATATTGTATTATGCATCATAGCAAGCAGACAAGAACTTTCAACTTACCTTATCACGTCTCATAGGCCCTCTATCATCGTCATTACCCATATCTCTTTCTTGCATGGGGTCAAGTATTCGAGTGCTGTTTGACTTCAGACCGCTACTCCTCTCGGCGTCTTTTTCTCGATTTGCTTGTATTTTTGCTTCTCTTCGCTCTTTTGACAATGCGCTCTAAAGCGAATTCTCTTTGTGACAGTATTGCTACGATAATACTGAAATAGCTGAACAAAGAGTCTTTTCTGAGACAATGTAAAAATACAAACCTGCATGAGAGCAGCTTGTGCCATGCTTCCATCAGGATTTTTGACCACTTTGACCGGCTCAATCTCTTGATTTCCCTTGCCGTATCCGCGAAGGAATTCTGGCTCCTCCTCCACGATTTCAACCTCATAATCCTCTCCATCACTCTCCTCTATAAACGGGACACTAAGGGTCAGTCGTGGAAATGACAGTGAAATGAACTTAGAAGATCATTATAGGAAGCCAAATCGAAGCAAGAAGAGAAGCCTACCTTCCTCTGGCCTCAAAACTCCAGACTCTTCATCAAAATCTGGACGGTCCATGTTGGTGACAACACCAGCACCCACCATTTGTTGCCACTCCCACCTCTCAGGAGTAGACATGCGTACACGACTCTTGCTAAGAGTTCAAAATTAAGGTTCAGATTAGTATGAA